TTTTTTTTTTTTTTTTGAGACAAAGTCTTGCTGGACTGCAGTGGCACAATCTCGGCTCACTGCAACCTCTGCCTCCTGGGTTGAAGCAAATCCCCTGCCTCAGCCTCCTCAGTAGCTTGTGACTATGGGCATGCACCACGATGCCCAGCTAATTTTTTTGTATTTTAGTACAGATGGGGGTTTCACCTTGTTGGCTAGGATGGTCTCGATCCCCTGACCTCGTGATCTGCCCACCTTGGCCTCCCAAAGTGCTGGGATTACAGGTGTGAGCCACTGTACCTGGCCACAAACTGAGGTTTAAAGTGATTAACCTCGAATTAGGCAAGGGGCCTAAGTCTGTCACTACCCTCAGGTGCTGCTCGTTCCACACTGGGCTCTACTGTGCACTCCTCCCACCTTTCTTCCTTTCTTCTTTTCCTTTCCCTCCCTCCCTCCCTCATTCCTTCTTTTTCTTCATTATTTATTTATTTAAGATGGAGTCTTGCTCTTGTTGCCCAGGCTGGAGTGCAATGGCACAGCCTCAGCTCACTGCAACCTCTGCCTCCCAGATTCAAGCAATTCTCCCACCTCAGCCTTCTGAGTAGCTGGGACTACAGGTACCTGCCATTATGCCTGGCTAATTTTTATACTTTTAGTAGAGATGGGGTTTCACTGTGTTGGCCAGGCTGATCTCAAACTCCTAACCTCAGGTAATCCGCCTGCCTCGGCACCCTCAAGTGCTGGGATTACAGGCATGAGCTACTGCACCCAACCTCTTAGGTTCAAGCAATCCTCCCACCTCAGCCCCACAAGTAGCTGGGACTACAGGTATGCACCCATGTCTGGATAATTTTTAAATTTTCTGTAGAGATGGGTTCTCACTAAACATAGTGAACTCAGGCTCCCGGGTTGAAGCAATTCCCCTGCCTCAGCCTCCTGAGTAGCTTGTGACTACAGGCAGTGACTAGGTTGCAGTGAGCCGAGATTGTGCCACCACACTCAGGCTGGTCTTGAACTCCTGGACTCAAGCAATCCCCCTGCCTCAGCCTCCCAAAGTGCTGGGATCATAAGCATGAGCCACCATGCCCAGCCCTCCTGCCTTTTATCCCTTAGTGGATGCCAAAGTCTTTGCCAGCTTCAGCTTAGTGAAGCATGCCCACCTGCATGTCCACTTCGTTCTTGATCATTTTGCCATCTGCCCACTTGAGCACAGCCCGAGCCTCTCCTAGAAGCATAGCCACAAGGAGCTGCAGAAAGGCAAAAAACAGTACTCCCCCCACCTCCTTCCCAAGGAAAGTTCCTGGCTAACCACAGGAACCAAAGCCTGAGCCCAGCCAGACCACTTTAAGTCACTCCTGTTCCTTCCCCCAGCCCCCTCTCACTCGTGCCCAGAAGAAAAGGCATGACCAGAGATAACAATATAGCCCCATCTCAGGCCCTGCTCACCCATCAGCAGCCCCATGTTGAAACGGTAACGTTCCACCAGGAGCTGGGGCCGGTGCTTGTTAATGGCAGCCTCCACCTGCAGAAACCCAAACCATGTGGTTCAGGAATGCCACCTTCACAGATATTCTGGGAACCCACTCCCTTACTCTGAGTCCTCCTGGGGAGGGAAACGGAGCCACTCTTGTCATGGCCAGGACTGGGGAGGTGGACGATGCCTGGGGAAAGACTCACAGCCTCCTCAATCTGCTCTGGGGTCACAGTGACACCCACGCCACATTCCTGCTCAAAGTCCGCAGTGTCAATGGGGTCCAAGGGGTGACTCCGCACATACTCAAGAGCAGCTGAGAAAAAAGAGCCAATGAGTTTGTGGCATCTCTGCTCCAATAAGTGGACAGACAGGGTCCTAATCTCATGAAACTCCAAGGATAGTCTGGCCTCCTGAAAAGTTAAGCCCTGGCACCACCACCCTACAGGACACAGGGAAGAGAGAAAGAAGTACGTGTCAAGAGTGGATGCCTCTCAGACCCTGACAGTTCCCTTGTTAGTCTCACCACCCACTGCATGCCTCAGTGCCTGTGCAGAACTAGATGTCTAGAAACTGGAGGACTTGGCAAAAAAGGTAAGACAAGGGTCTTGGCTGAAGGGAGGCATTGGTGGTCGAACTGGCAGGACAGGGAGGAGTCTCACCGCTCAGCTGGGGCTCAGTGTGGATCTTCTTACTGGCTATGTAGCTTACAAGGAAGGAGAGACGCCGAGTATCCCTGAGTCGGGAGGCTAAGCCATATAACAGGGTCCCGGTAGCCTTGTCAATGGTGGAGCCCAGGGTCTGCTGAGCCTGGAGGCAGAGGGATCAAGAGACAAGCCCCACGCTCAGTGAGAGGAAAGAGCAAAACAAGTGGGGCAGGTCCCGATCTGGACCCCGCCCCGCGCTGCGTGGCAGCAAGACCCGCAAACCAGGCCGAGGGCAGTGGGGCTCGCACCTGGGTAGCGGCCTCGCGCAACTGCGCGCTCAGAGTCTGGTTCTTGAGCGTCTCGCGGGCCTTCTGCTCGCTCAGGCCGAGGCCAGTGAAGAGCGACAGGGAGTCCAGAGCCGCCATCGCAAAGACACCGGAAACCAAAAGAAACTTAGGACCGAATCTGCAGGTCGACATTCACCCGCTGACCAATGAAAGGGAAACCTCTGGAGAGAGCCAATGGTGTTCTTCCTTGGCGGGAGGGGGCGGGGCGTTCCAGGGTCGTCTACGCCATTTAAAGAACACAGGGCAGACAAACCGGCCTTTCCGGGGGCCTCTGTGGAACTGAGCGGTTGAAGGAGTGTTGGCGGGCAGCGTGGCTTTTAGAGATACTCGCCACAGATCTGAAAGGAAGTTGTTAGGCCCCGAGGCAGGAGGAAGACACAGGCATGGCCTTTTGCTCTGACTTTTCTACTTCAGCCCTGGGAACTCCATCTCAGTACAGTAACTTTCCTCGGGGGACAAATGCGAGTCCCTGTCGCGGTTTTGACGCCACTGTTTGGAGTTGCTATGGAAACAGTTGAGCAAAATGAAGCCCGGGAAATCCCTGATCCAGACTCCATCGCAGAGAATGTGCAGAATGGCTGATCCAGGGGCCCCATAACTCTGACAGTTTTTAGGTGCCCGCTGGAACACAGCTGGCCAGGAAAGGGAAGGGAAGAGTCTGGGCCAGGAGGGACCTCACAGAAGTTCTATGATTTGGTTTAAAATCTTGGCTGGCGCAGAGGCTCAGGCCTATAATCCCAGCAGTTTGGGAAGCCGTGGCAGGCGAATTACTTGCGGTCAGGAGTTTGAGATCACCCTGGCCAACATGGTGAAACCCTGTCTCTACTAAAAATACAAAAATTAGCTGGGCATGATGGCACACGCCTGTAATCCCAGCTACTCAGGAGGCTGAGGCTGGAGAATTGCTTGAATTTGGGAGGCGGAGGTTGCAGTGAGTCGAGATCATGCCACTGCACTCCAGCCTGGTAGACAGAGTGAGACTCTGTCTCAAAAAAAATAAATAAATAAATAACTGGGTGCAGTGGCTCACACCTGTAATCCCAGCATTTTGGCAGGCCGAGGCAGGCGGATCACTTGAGGTCAGGAGTTCAAGACCAGCCTGGCCAACATGGTGAAACCCCATCTCTATTAAAAATACAAAAATTAGCCAGGTGTGGTGGCGGGCTTCTGTAATCCCGGCTACTTGGGAGGCTGAGGCAGGAGAGTCGCTTGAACTCAGGAGGCGGAGGTTGCATTGAGCCAAGTCTGCACCATTGCACTCCTGCCTGGGCAATGGAGTGAGACTCTAGTCTCAAAAAAAAAAAAAAAATCTCATCCCACACTTCCCTTCCTGCCTGCCAAAGCATGCAAATATCAGGAAAACCACAAGCAAATTAGACCTTGAAATCCCTCTGCAGGCCTTTGAGAAAGGATATTTTATTGAGGTTGGGACAAAGTGGGACAAATGAGGTGGAATCTTCATGATTATAGCTGTTGTGCTTAGGGATCTTCCCACAGTCTCACTGGACTTCCAGGACCTGCTACCTAAAACAGAATATAGAGACTGTGTGTGTGAAAAGGGGTTGAGGTAGAGGGTTGCAGAGAATGAGCAGCTGGTGGTGGGATGGTGGAAATCTCCAAATTTGAAATTGGAGCTCTTGCAGCCCTTGGTGATGCTCATACTTCCGGACCTTCAAGGAATAGGCAGGATCCTCACTAGCCTGTATCCATATTCTGTGCCCACATGCCACTAATGACCAAGCTCCAAGTCTGGGCCTACATCTGGATACCACCTAATGACCACATGCCAGGTGCTAGCCAGGGCCATATGCTGCATCAATATCCAGGTCCAATGCTGTCCTGGTGCTTACCACCTCTCCATGGCCCCTTGGCCCCAGCCAGATGCCCAGCCCTGCAATGTACTGCATGAGAAAGGCCAGGTGCAGGAGTTAAGCAGGGGATGCAGACCCATGGTGCTAAGAACAGGTACCAAAAAGCAGAGCCATAGCCACACCAGCCTTGCACTGAATTTGAAGCTGCAAGTGCCCAGACAACCACAAAGGTGCCCATGATGAGCAAATCCATGCAGAGTGCCTGCCACTGCCACTATTTCCTCAGTACCTGATTCACTGATTCATTGTAGCACCATCACTAAGTCCTACAGGTCTGGTGATGGCCCCCTCAATGGGATCAAGATCTGCACCCCCTTTCCTGGTTACTTCAGGTACACTGTGGACCCCATGGCTACATGTCATAGGATGAGGCAGTAGCCCCATGAGTGCCACCAAGAATGCCACAAGTGGTAGTACCAGTGCATGTCCAGCTAACCCTAGATGTCTATGACTTGCACAGAGCAGAAATGTTAAATTGTATGGGCCCAGTCTGGAGGTTAGCCTGCCTGCATGAGCCCCTGGCACTGCTTCCAGGAAAGTCAAACGGAAAAACCAGGCAGCAGCCAGCAAGGCCCAGCTGTGGAATGGACAGAGGTAGAGTCCAGCAGCCAAGCCCATAGAGAGGTCCCTATGGCACAGGCTGATAACATAGAGGTAGGGTAGTAGAAACTACAGTGCTGGAGACAGTAGTCTCATGCAGATGCTACAGAAGGGTACAGTGCAGCAGCAGGGCTGCAGTCAGAGGCGGACAGAGCTCCTTGATCAGTGCATCCAGCACATGTAGCCAATGATAGCCTGATTCCCTTGCACTTGGGGCAGCCCATGCCTAGCAGGCCCTCCAACAGTATTACATCTGCCAGTACCAGCACATAGGCCAACAACTTCGTTTCTGCAGGTCCCACACTCAGGTTTTCACACCCCTCTCCACAGCCAGTGGTTTCACATGATCCTTGTGTTGTCCCCATCAGAAAAAGCCAACATTGGTCAGGGGGCTAGCTTTCCCCAGGAACTTATTGCTACTCCTAGTTCCAAATGAAACAGGGCTACTAGCAAGGCCTCAATGCCAAGCTTCTTGAGACTGACCCCATGGGCTTAGAGATGAGAATGAACCTTCCTACCAGGCTGCCAGGACCTTGCCCCACCTCTGCCTGTCTTAACACACTTGAGCAACTCTAAATACCTGCCTCATCAGTACCTTTGCTCTCCATCTCCTTCCAGCTAGAGATGCCCACCTTACCCCCCAAGCAACTGGAGAGTGGAGGGGGCAGTATTCTCTACAAAGGGAGGCAGGAAGGCTTTTCACAAGACTTGCCCTTGCTATTTGTACAAGGTTGCAGAGGCTCTAGGCTAGGACAGGCTTACAGACCCACTTGAGAGGGAATAGCCTGGCACAGCTGCCAGGAGTCAAGGTCTCAGGGACTCTTTTATTATTATTATTTTTGAAAGAGTTTCACTCTGTCACCCAGGCTGGAGTGCGATTACACAATCTCAGCTCATCACAGCCTCCACCTCCTGGGACGACCCTCCCATCTCAGCCTCTGAAATATTTGGAACTACAGGTGCATACCACGACACCCAGTTAATTTTTATATTTTTAGTAAAGATGGGGCTTCCCCATGTTGCCCAGGTTAGTTCTGAACTCCTGGGCTCAAGCCATCCTCCTACCTCAGCCCAAAGTGCTGGGATTACAGGCATAAGTCACCACACTTGGCCGGTTTCAGGGACTCTTAAGGGAAGACTTTTAAGGCTGGCAGGCCCCAGCACCCTCCCTCCAATATAACTTAGATGAGATCAGCTCTGGTCCTCTTTGACTGTCCTCTTTTCAGGGCAGCAAGATCTGCCCCACGGCAGTTTTCTACCTGCAGGGATCCAGATGTTGTTCAAGCAAAGAAAAAGCTGAGAACAGGCCGGACGTGGTGACTAACGCCTATAATCCAAGCACTTTGGAGGCCAAGGCGGGCGGATCACCTGAGGTCGGGAGTTCAAGACCAGCCTGACCAATATGGTGAAACCCCGTCTTTTTTTTTTTTTTTTTTT